GTTTGTCTTTCTGTTACTGACTAAATTTGCTCATCATAATGCCCTCCAGATTCCTCCATGTTATGTTTCATGGCTTCATTGTTGTTCTTTATGTTGTGTAGTATTCCATTGTGTGAATATACCATAATTTGTTTATCCATTCGTCTGTTGATGGGCATCTAGGTTGTTTCCATCTTTTTGCTATTGTGAACAGTGGGCAGCGGAGCTCTTAACCACTGAGTCACCAGGGATCCTCAGTAAAGATTACAGTCTTGGAAACCCTAGGGGGCAGTTCTGCTCTGTCCTATAGTGTCTCTATGACGGAATTGACTGGACAGCAATGGGTTTAATTTGTTTTTTGATCCTCATAATAGAACTGTTGAGAACTTTTATATTGTGCTCAAGGGACACAGGCGATTCTCAAAAGCATGCGTCCCCGAAAAAACAGGATCCCCAACCCTGCCCCACCGGGTGTAGAGAGGAAGGGGGCGGGACCGGAGCGGAGAGGGCGGGGCTGCGGGATGCTTGGGGTCGGTCTCCCGGAGCATTGAGGGGGTGGGCCCTATAACGGCTTGATGCTTACTGCATTACACGGCCCGTTTTGCGCATGTGCAGCCTGTTTTCAAAGTTTGGTGAGCGCGTGGCGTCAGCGCGGGTTGGTGGCGCAGCCAGTGGGTAGGGGCAGTAAGTGCGCGAGACCGAGGATAGCTCTCTCGTGGCTGCTTCCTGTCTGACGGGTGTTCCTGGGCCCCGTCTTCGCTTCGTGGCCGGAGATCCAGACCGCGCTCGGCTTCAAGCCGCCAACTTGTGGGTGCGTCCGCCCGAGATCCTCTGCGAGGGCGGAGCCAGGCTGGAATATGGCCGCGTCGGGCCTGGTGAGTGCGGCGGCAGTATGGCTGCGTCGGGTCTAGTGAGTGCGGGCCCTGGCGAGCGGGAACACTGCCCTCCAGGCCCCCGCGCCCAAAGAGCGAGAGAATGAAACGTTGGGCTGGTACTGTGGCTTCTTGGGGATTTCACTGGGAAAGCCCAAAACGCACATTTTTGAAATCTGTTGTGATCGTGTTCCGATAGCGGAGTTACTCTGTTACTTCCTCAAGGTTTCCTCTGCTGTTTCTGCATGTTTCTTTTAACGAATGTTGTGATTTCTACATTTTAGCTTGCTTCCAGTTACTGGTCCTGCAAATACTTTTCTGTGCACAACAGAAGTATTGAAACGACTTAAAAGTGTGCTTTTGCTCAAACTTGCTGGTCTGAAACAAATTCTTGTTTATGTAACACATTTTTCTCTATTCTGACGTTCTCATTTGTGTTTTGTCAAAATGTTGAGCGTTGTATGCAGTTTTATAGGGTAGTATTTATGGAGCACCTTTTGTTAAAGTCTTCGGAAAGGCAAGCTGTTAGTTGAGAGGAACAAGCTGTGAATGACTAATGGGGTTGGGAACTCATTTTTGTTTCCATGTTTTTGGATTCCCTCGGTGTTAGTCTGTATTTCAAACATCGCTTATCGTCACTATATATTATAGTATCCATAAACTTGTATTTTCTACTTTAGCTCCGTTTTTAAGAATCTTCAGTATTGATAATCTTTCATTTATGTAACGATATAAACATAAGTTAGTGTGTACTTTTTCGTATAAGCGTATACATTGCTTACATTATATATAAGCAGAAGAAAGCAATAAAGCCATTCTCAGGGGGAAGAGAAGTGGAAGAAAACAAATACCCGTGGTTAATTTTTCAAATGTCTGTCATAACCGTTTAAGCCTTTTATTTTTAATATCTGCTTTTGTGTCATAGTCCATTGACAAGACAAAGGGAGAAAAAGTTGGGATTCCCGTACTTTAGTGGTTCTCTATTAAAAAAAAAAACAACTTTGCTGGTGAGCGATTGCCACTCATAGCGACCATATAGGACAGAGTAGGACTGCCCCATAGGGTTTCTAAGGAGCAGCTCGTCGAATTCGAACTGCCAACTTTTAGTTAGCAGCCGAGCTCTTAACCACTGCGCCACCAGAGCTCTACTGGGGGTGATTTTGCCCCCTAGGGGACATTGAGAATGTCCCCAGCAGCAGGTTTGGCCTTTTTTTTTGGAGAAATTTTTAATTGTCGCAATTGGGGGATACTACTGGCACCTAGTGGATAGAGGCCAGAGATGCAGCTAAACATCCTGCAAATGCACAGGACGGCCCCCAAGGACAAAGAATTATCCAGCCCAAAATGTCTGTAGTGTCCAAACTGAGAAACCCTACTGTGTTTTATAATATTTTCTTGGAGAAACATGATCTGACATAGTAAATAGTGAAGCTCAATTTACAACTGACTGAGGAATGAATTAGAATTGGCAGTTTTTGAAAGTGTATTATGAAAATTAAAATTTTTACATTCTAACTTTAGGGTGGTGAAAGTGGTTTGCGATTGAGTGCTAAACTAAAGGTTGGTGGTCTGAACTGACCCAGCGGCTCTTTGAACTGCTTCTTTAAAGATTACAACCAAGAGAATCCTATGGAGCAGCTCAACTCAGTAACACATGGGGTTGCCCTGAGTTGGGGGCCCATTGAACTGCCACTAACAATAACAACTTTAATTTAGAATTAAGGGACCTTGTATGTGTTGTTCACCATCTGCGTTCTAGTGTACCTAAATAGCACTTGACTTGATTGTGTTGAATGCAGTTGTATTGAATGTTGTTGTTAGGAGCCCTCGAGTTGGTTCCAACTCATAGAGACTGTATTTACAACAGAATGAAACACTGCCTGGTCCTCCTCCATCCTTACAATCATTGTTATGCTGAAGCCCATTGTTGCAGCCATTGTGTCAGTCCATCTTGTTGAGAGTCTTCCTCTTCTTCGCTGCCCCTCTACCAAGTATGATGTCCTTCTCCAGGGACTGATCCCTCCTGATAACATGTCCAGAGTATGTGAGACCTAGTCTTTTCCATCTTTGCTTCTAAGGAGCATTCTGGTTGTACTTCTTCCAAGACAGATTTATTCGTTCTTTTTGCAGTTCGTGATATATTCAATATTCTTCTCCAACACCTCAATTCGAAGGCATCAGTTCTTCTTGAGTCTTCCTTATTCATTGTCCAGCTTTCGCATGCATATGAGGCAATCGAAAACACCATGGCCTGGGTCAGGCACACCATAGCCTTCAAGGTGACATCTTTGCTTTTCAACACTTTAAAGAGGTCTTTTGCTGCAGATTTGCTCAGTGCAGTGCGTTTTTTGATTTCTTGACTGTTGCTTCCATGGGTGTTGATTGTGGATCCAAGTAAAATGAAATCCGTGACAACTTCAGTCGTCATGATGTTGCTTATTGGTCCAGTGTGAGGATTTTTGTTTTCTTTATGTTGAGGTGTAATCCATACTGAAGGCTGTGGTCTTTGATCTTCATCAGTTAAGTCCTCTTCACTTTCAGCAAGCAAGGTTGTGTCATCTGCATAATGTAGGTTGTTAATGAATCTTCCTCCAATCCTGGTGCCCTGTTCTTCGTACGTATTGAATAGGTATGGTGAACAAATACAACCCTGATGCACACCTCTCCTGACTTTAAACCATGCCATATCCCTTTGTTCTGTTCGAACGACTGTGTCTTGATCTACGTACAGATTCCTCGTGAGCACAATTAAGTGTTCTGGAATTTCCATTCTTCTCAGTGTTATCCGTAATTTGTTATGATGCATACAGTTGAGTGCCTTTGCATAGTCAATAAAACACAAGTAAACATCTTTCTGGTATTCTCTGCTTTCAGCCAGGATCCGTCTGACATAAGCAATGGTATCACTGGTTGCATGTCCTCTTCTGCATCCGGCTTGAATTTCTGGCAGTTCCCTCTTGATATACTGCTGTGGTGGCTTTTGAATGATCTTCAGCAAAATTTTACTTGCGTGTAATATTAATCATATTGTTCGATAATTTCCGCGTTCGGTTGGATTACCTTTCTTGGGAATAGGCATAAATGTGGATGCCTTCCAGTTGGTTGGCCAGGTAGCTGTCTTCTAGATTTTTTGGCATAGATGAGTGAGCACTTCCAGTACTGCATCCATTTGTTGAAACATCTCAGTTGGTATTCTTTCAATTCCTGGAGCCTTGTTTTTCTGCCAGTGTTTTCAGTGCAGCTTGGACTTCTTCCTTCAGTTTCTGATCATATGCTCCCTCCTGAAATGGTTGAACGTCGACCTGTTCTTTTTGGTACAGTGACTGTGTATTCCTTCCATCTTCTTTTGATGCTGCCTGTGTTGTTTAATATTTTCCCTGTAGAATCCTTCAGTATTGCAACTCGAGGCTTGACATTTTTCCTCAGTTCTTTCAGCTTGAGAAATGCTGAGCATATTCTTCCCTTTTGGTTTTCTATCTCCAAGTCTTTGCACGTGTCATTGTAATACTTTGTCTTCTCGAGCCACCCTTTGAAATCTTCTGTTTCAGCTCTTTTACTTCATCATTTCTTCTTTTGCTTAGCTACTCTATGTTCAAAAGCAAATGTAAAAGAACTACCTTTGCCTTACTGTTTTTCTATTTAAAAGAGGAGCGGGGAGTATTTACAGTTGTTAGTTAACATTTCAGTGTGCAAATTTGATGAATCTTATTTTGCATGAAGTTAGGAGAAGAGTGGCCTTAAATTAGGCTTGGAAGTTAACTAACATTCTCAGTATAGGGCTTCAGTGTTTCAAAATGCTGAGTACTGGACAGAGACGTAAGTACTTGAGTTTAGTTTCCACCATTAAGCAGTTTTTCTATATGCATGTAGGGAGATGATTATGATTCCAGAAAAAGCAAATGGCTCAAAGAAGCTAGGTACAACGAGGCTTATAAAGAGAAGAATCTGTTGTCGAGTCGATTACGACTCATAATGACCCTACTGGACAGAGTGAAACTGCCCCATAGGATTTCCAAGGCTGTAATCTTTATGGAAGCAGAGTGCCACATCTGAAACAAAGTGCCACATCTTTCTCCCATGGAGTGGCTGGTGGGTTTGAACTCCTGACCTTTTGGTTAGCAGCCTAGCGTTTAACGATTGCACCACCAGGGTTCCTATATAAAGAGAAAACAAACAAACCCACTGCCGTTGATTGAGTTGATTCTGACTCATAGTGACCTCATAAGGTTTCCAAGGCTGTAAATCTGTATGGGAGCAGACTTGCACATCTTTTCTTCTGTGGAGCCACTGGTGGTTTCGAACTGCCAGCCTTTTGGTTAACAGTCAATTGCTTTAACCACTACACCACCAGGGCTTCTTATATAAAGAGAAGAGGAAGGAGAAATATAGAAGACCAACCATTGGCTAATCTTAAGATGATTAGTGTTGAAAGCATTATAAAAGCCTATGTGATTCGAGAACATTATATAGGCATAATAGCAATTCCCTATCTTTATCCACTGAGAGGGCCAGCAGCAATCCAAAATAATGAGCAAACGTTTTGCCCAGTCCCTGGTTCTAAAGACCATTCTCCACTAAAAGGAACTAGGTTGCCCTGGAAAAAATAGGAGGTTCCAGTGCTGAGGCAGTGAAAGTATAAAATGGGCCTAAAACAAATAGTATATTTTTGTTCATTAAATTATTTCACATTTGTATATGTACTTCGTATCCCGTTGGGCCAGGTAAAAGCGAGGCTTATTAAACATTTAGTATTTATAGTTATATATTCATTCCTTTTTCTTATTTTGTTGTGCTTTAGATGAAAGTTTACAGCACAAATTAGTTCCTCATTCAAAAATTTTTACACACATTGTTTTGTGATATTGGTTGTAATCCCCACAATGTGTCAGCACTCTTCCCCTTTCCACCCGGGTTCCCTGTGTCCATTCGTCCAGTTTTCCTGTCCCTTCCTGCCTTCTCGTCTTTGCTATTGGGCAAGTATTGCCCATTTGGTCTCATATACTTGATTAAACTAAGAAATGTTCCTCAGGTGTGTTATTGTTTGTTTTATAGGCCTGTCTAATCTTTGGTTGAAAGGTGGACGGGAGTGACTTCCTTTCTGAGTTACTAGGGTATCCGGGGGCCATAGTCTAAGGGGTTCCTCCAGTCTCTGTCAGACCTGTAATTCTGGTCTTTTATTGTGAATTTGAATTTGGTCTTACATTTTTCTCCTACTCTGTCCAGGAACCTCTATTGAGATCCCCGTCAGCGTGGTCGGTGGTGGTAGTTCTTTAACCACTAGTTCTTCTTGTGCTTAGGCTGGCGGAGGCTGTGGTTCATGTGGTGCATTTGTCCTTTGGATTAATATTTTCCTTGTGTCTTTGGTTTTCTTCATTCTCCTTTGCTCTGGGTGGGATGGGACCAATAGATGTATCTTAGATGGCTGCTTGCAAGCTTTTAAGACCCCAGACCTCACCAAAGTAGGGTGAAGAACATTTTCTTTATGAACTGTGTTAAGCCAGATGACCCAGATGTCCACCAAGACTATGGTCCCCAGCCCTCAGCCCCAGCTGCTCGGTCCCTCAAGGTGTTTGGATGTGTCTAGGAAGCTTCTATGACTTTGCCTTGGTCAGGTTGTGCTGATTTCCCCTATATTGTGTGTTGTCTTTCGTTTCACTAAAGTTAAGAGTTGTCTACTATCTAGTTAGTGATTTTCTCTCTTCACCCCACCTCTCCCCTCCCTCGTAGTCATCAAAGATTGTTTTTTTCTGTGTGGAAACCTTTTCTTGGGTTTTTATAATAGTGATCTCATATAGTATTTGTCCTTTTGTAACTGACTTATTTCACTCAGACTCATCCATGTTGTGAGATGTTTCGTGGATACCAATATCTTCGTTTTTAAAAGCATGCTATTAATCCTATTATTACCTAATGTTCAACTAGGTAATTTAGATTTAGAAATTTTACAATTAAAAGATAGGACCCGGAGTCTCCCAAAGTGACCTCACCCCCAATATCTGCATGTCTGTGTGATTTATTTTTTCTGTTCCCATTGATTGAGACTGCCTCTTTTTGTTGGGGTTACCTGGTTTTCTCTTTGTGGAAGCATTCTAGGATCGTCTTATCCTCAGTTTTTTTCCTGAAATTTCACTGTTATATTCCTAAGTATAGGTCTTCTTAAATTCATTATGCTGGCTACTCATTTCCTACAAATTTGAAGAATTTTTCTATATATATTCTTAGGGAATATCTTTTCAATTTTATCTGGAATAACTATTAATCAGAAGTTGAACCACATGATTTTTCGATCTTTGCGTTAGTTTTTCTTTCCCAGTTTCTTTATCTTTTTGTTCTTTCTGCGAAATAGCCTCATTTTTTCTTAAATATTGTGTTTTTTGTTTTAGGCAATGATGTTTTTAATTAGTAAGAGTTTTTCTTGTTCTCTGTTCCATGTTTATAATATACCACTTTTGCTTGTAAGTCCAGTAGTATCTCAAATATTTCTAAAATATCTCTTGAAGATTCATAATAGATTTTTTTGTTTGTTTTCTTGTTTTTGAAATTTTATTCTTTGTCATCCTTGATATTAGTTTCCTTGGATCTTTAAAAAAATTTTTATTTTGTTTTTCTTTTGTTTTAGAGACTTTTAGATGTCTAGTCATCCATGGATGCTGGTCATGTTTGAGACTGAGACAATAGACTACTGATTGGGAGCTCTGTGTTTATGAGGATGTGGGCAGTGGAAGGATCTACTCTTCTGCTTATAGATTTTCCTTTAATTGCCGTGTTTTTAGTCCCGTGTCTTACTCTTCGCCTCTGTCAGATCTCAAGTTTCCTTGCTCTGCATCATTATGGTTTTTTCTTTGAGCAGATCATCTTCCATCCTCATCGAAGACAATATCCTCTGAGCTTACTTTAGGCTACTTATGCTTTTATTTTGTTTCATGAATTATTATTCTTCATCTGTTTTCAATCTTCCAAAAATTGGTTAAATTTGTTCATAGGTGGCCCTCTCTTCATTCTCTTTTTTGTTGCTTTCTTATGCCTTTTTATTTCTTTACTATTATTTTAGTGGGTTCTCCCTGTAAGGAAAGCAGATAGGTGGATATGATTAATTAAATTACTAGAAGTTGAGACAGTTTGGATTTTGTTGGTAGAAGAGGAATGAGGGGAGGTGGAGGAGGAGCAGGGGGAAGATGAGTAATCCTCAAGGGGAAGAAATAGTATAGGCCAAGGTTTGGAAATGGCAGATATGAGGCAAGTTGTTCTCTTTCACTGGATCCAGAAGAATTGCTTTCTATAGTAACAATTAACAAATACTTGCTGAATGAATAACTGAAGAATTGAAATTTTGTATCATGTCCATGTTGGGGAGAAATTATTCTGAAGTTAAGTTGTGTTTGAACATATTTTAAACAAAGATACCAAACTGATCATTTATTTTTCTTTCAGGATCATCTGAAAAATGATTATAGAAGAAGATTTTGTCGACCTTCCAGGTGATTTATATACTTAATCTTTTGAGATTGATTTTTTATTCTTATCTTCAGGAAGTGAATTTTTAAATGAAGAAAGGAAAAACTGTCACCTCTGTCTGATTGATTTCTGATTGTTGATTAAGTATAGTCTTAGTTGTTTTATATTAACAGAAATATTAATGCAAGCAATGCAGTGACTTAGTGATAGTAGCAGTGAGAAAAGAAATTCACCTGATAACATGGTGGTCCGGGAAGAGGCAGTCTCAATTCTGATTAAATGGTAGCTATGGGGAAAGCACTTTGTAGAATGGATTAAATGGTTATAGTAGAAAGATGCAGCACATTCAGTGGGGTGAAAAGAAAATAATGCATATGGTCATATTATTTGGTGGATGTTTATTCTGGTTCTTTGGGGCCGTCTTTTGATTTGACACAAATGGCTAAGTGCTCAACTAGCACCCGAAAGGTTAGTGGTTCAGACCTACCCAGAGATGCCTCAGAAGAAAGCCCTGGCGATCTAGTTCTGAAAACTCAGCCACTGAAAACCCTATGTAGCACAGTTCTTCTTTGCAACACGTGGGGTTGCCATAAGTCGGAATTGATGTGACGGCAGCTGGGTTTGGTTTGGGTTTTGGTTGTAAAATATGTAAAGTTAAATTTTCTAGTTACCTATTGAGTAGTAATACAATGAATAGCATGTGTTTAAAAATAAAGATATTATCAACAACCAAATATTTATTGAGCCTCAAATCTTTCTAGATCCAGTGGCGCATAGAAATACATACTTTGGCCCACAAGAAGCTTGTGTTCCTGTTGGGAAGATATATATGTACACTTGCAAAATAATTTAATTACCAAAAAAAAAATTACCTGTGATAAAGTAATAACTTATGTATCATAAACAGTAGGTCTATATGTAATTAGGTGTTAACTTGCACTATAGGCTGCCATATAAGAAGTTACAAAAGGGTATGTATGTTGTTCATATCCAGGAAAGCTTTAAAGTTGTAGTTTATCTTGAGGTGGTCCTTAAATAGATGTTTAAAGAATAAAGTAAAGTACATTCCAGATATAGAAATACCATAAACAAAGGAACCACTGTAGGAGTGCTTATATTATGGTGTGTTAACAGCAGACAGACCTGTCCTAAGAGGGTGAAATATGTTGGATAGAAGAGAAAACAAGATTATATGAATCAAGTAGAACCAGAAAACAAATGTGTTAGACTTTAGGCATTTATTATAAAGTCTCGAATAAGTTGTCTTAAATCAACTTTGGAATAAGACTGACGAGGTAGAAACACATATTTTAGAAAGGCAAAGAATAGTTCGGTGTTTTTATATAGGATGGAGCCCTGGTGGCGTAGTGGTTTAACACTCAGCTGTTAACCAAAAAAGTTGGCAGTTCAGATCCACTAGCTGTGGCTTGGAAATCCTATGGGGCAGTTATAATCTGTCCTAAAAAGTTGCTGTAAGTTGGAATTGACTTGATAGCAACGGGTTTTTTGGTTTTGGGAGGAGGGCTTTTACACTAGTGTGGCAATGAGAAGGGGTAAGAAAAACTGAACTGGAGAAAATTTTGTACAAAGCTGTACAACTTGGTGACTATAATGTTCTTCCGTACGAGAAGTAGAAGAGACTGACTGACTCATTTGGTAACTGCCAGAAGATTATTGTTGTTGTTAGTTGCCTTCAAGTCAGCTCCAGTTCATAGCAACCTTATGTATAACAGAAGGAAATGTTGCCGATCCTGTGCTATCTTCACGATGGTTGCTATGTTTGAGTTTATTATTTTGGCTATTGTATCAATTCATCTCATTGAGGGTTTCCTTCATTTTCAATGACCTTCTACTTTACCAGCCATGGTGTTCTTTTCTAACGATTGGTCTTTCCTGATGACATATCCAAAGTAAGCATGCTGAAGTTTCACCATCCTTGCTTCTAAGGAGCATTCTGGCTGTACTGATTTATTTGTTCTTCTGGCTGACCACAGTATATTCAGTATTCTTTGTGTCTTTAAATGCATCAGCTCTTCTGTCTTTCTTTTTAATTGTCCAACTTTTACGTGCATATTAGACGATTGAAAAGGCCATGGCTTGAGTCAGGCCAATGTTAATCATCAGTGACATCTTTACTTTTTAGAATGTTATAGAGGTCTTTTGCAGCAGATTTGCCCAGTGCAGTACATTGTTTGATTTCTTAACTGCTGTTTCTGTGGGTATTGATAATTGATCCAAGAAGAATGAAATCCTTGGACAACTTCAGTTTCTTTGTCATTTTTCATGATGCTATTTATTGGTACATTTGTGAGCATTTTTGTTTTCTTCATGTTCACGTGTAATCCATAGTGAAGACTTTCGTCAGAAAATACTTCCGGTCGTCTTTATTTTTGGCAAGCAAGGATGTGTCATCTGCGTATCTCAGGTTGTTAATGGTCTTCCTCAATTCTGATGGTGCATTCTTCTTCCTGTAGTCTAGTTTCTCAGATTATTTGTTCAGCATACAGATTGAATTAAGTAAAGTGAAAGGATACAACCTTGCTGCACACTGTTTCCCATTCTGAACCACACAGTATCCTCTTGTTCTGTTTGAACAACTGTTTCTTGATCCACATACAGGTTCTACATAAGCACAATTAAGTGTTTTTGAATTCCCATTCTTTATAATGTTATCCATAATTTGTTTGGTCCATAAAGTCAAATGCCTTTACATAATCAATAAAACACAGATAAATAGCTTTCTAGTATTCTCTGCTTTTAATCAAGATCCATCTGATATCAGCAGTGATATCTCTTTTTCCATGTCTTCATCTGAATCTGGCTTAATCTTCTGGCAGTTCCCTGTTGATGTGTGGCTGCAGTCATTTTTGAATTATCTTCTGCAAAATTTTGCTAGTATGTGATATTAGTGATACTGTTCAGTAATCTCTGCATTCTATTCGATTGCCTTTCTTTGGAATGGGCACAGATCTGTATCTCTTCTAGTCGGTTGTCCAAGTAGCTAAATTTCTTGATATAGACAAGTAAGTGCTTCCAGCATTGCATCTGTTTGTTGAGACATCTCAATTGATATTCCGTCAATTCCTGGAACCTTGCTTTTTGCCAGTGTCTTCAGTGTAGCTTGAATTTCTTCTTTCCATGCCAGTGATTCTTGATCATATGCTACCTCTGTAATGGTTGAGGGAGCCCTGGTGACATAGTGGTTAAGAGCTACAGCTGCTAACCGAAAGGTTGGCAGTTCAAAGTTACCAGCCATTCCTTGGAAACCCTATGAGGCAGTTCTACTCTGTCATGTAGGGTCGCTGTGAGTCGGAATTGACTCAGTGGCAGTGGATTTGGTAATGGTTGAACGTTAACCATTTCTGTTTGGTACGTTAACTCTGTATTCCTTCCATCTTCTTTTGATGGCTTGTCATTCAATTTTTTGCTTATAGAATCCTTCAGTCTTGCACCGCGAGGCTTGAATTTTTCAGTTCTTTTGGCTTGAGAAATGCCAATTGTCTTCTTCCCTTTTGGTCTTCTAACTCCAGGTCTTTGTACATTTGCTCAGAATACTTTCCCTTGTCTTCTCGATTCCCCCTTTGAAATCTTCTGTTCAGATCTTTTACTTCATCATTTTATCTGTTCTATTTAGCTACTTTGTACTTAAGAGCAAGTTTTAGACTCTCTTCTGACGTTCATTTTGGTCTTTTCCTTCTTTCCTGTCTTTTTAATGACCTTTCATTTTCTTCATGTATGATGTTTTTGATATCTTCCCACAACTCTTCTGGTCTTTAGTCATGAGTGTTCAGTGTGTCACATCTGTTCTGAGATGGTCTCTAAATTCAAAGTTGTACTTTGACTTTCTTGGACTTGCTTTGGTTTTCTTCAGTTTCAACTGGAACTTGCACATGAGCAATTGATAATCTGTTCCAAAGTCAGCCCTGCCTTTGTCTTATTTAAAATTTTATTTATTTTGTTGTTGTGGAGAACATACACAGCAACCCACTGCCGTTGAGTTGATTCCGACTCAGCAACCCTATAGGACAGGGTAGAACTTGCCCCATAGGGCTTCCAAGGCTGTAAAATCTTTATGGAAGCAGACTGCCACATCTTTCTCCTGCAGAGTGGCTGGTGCGTTTGAACCGCTAACTTTTCTGTTAGCAGCTGAGTGCTTAACCACTACACCACCAGTGCTCCTATACACAGCAAAACATACACCAATTTAAGGGTTTCTATACGTACAGTTCAGTGACATTGATTACATTCTTTAAGTTGCGCAACCATTCTCATCCTCCTTTTCTGAGTTGTTCCTCTCCCGTTAACATAAACTCATTGATCTTTTGAGTTGCTGTTGATCTTTAGAGTTGCTGTTGTCAATTCAATCTCATATAGGTAGTTCTTAAAAGAACATGATTCTCAAGGCAGACATTCTTTACTAATTAAGCTAAACAGTTGTTTAGTTTTAAGAAGACTTCAGGGGATATTTTTGGTTTAAGGTTTAAAGATCATCACAGGGCAATAGTTTCAGGACTGACTTTGTCTTGACTGATGATACTGAGCTTCTCTGTAATCTATTTCCACAGGTGTAGTTGATTTGGTAACTGTGTAATCTGTCCAGTGAGGTCGTGTGTAGTCTTCGACTGTGTTGTTAAAAAAAAAAAGTATTTCCAATGATTCATTTGTTGGTCTTACAGAATTTTACCATGTGATATCCAGCATAGTTTTCATCTCCAAGGTTGGAACTGTTTCAACTGTTGGTCCTTTTTCTTTGTTTCTAACTTTCACATTTCAGTTACCAGTAATTACCAGTGTGTCTTGATTGCACACTCGATCAATTTCAGACTGCAGCAGTTTGTAAAAATCTTTAATTTCTTCATTTTTGGCATTCGTGGTTGGTGGTAAATTTGAATAATAGTCACATTAACTGTTCTTCCTTGTAGGTGTATGGATATTAATCTATCACTGATTACATTGTATTTGCGGATAGATCTTGAAATGTTCTTTTTGATGATGAATTCATCGCTGTTCTGCTTTACTTTGTTGTTCTCTGCCATCTTAGTTATCTAGGGCTCCTATAACAGAAGTACCACAAGTGGATGACTTCACAGTAAAGTAGGCTAGAAGTCTGAATTCAGAGTGCCATCTCCAGGGGAAGGCTTTCTCTCTCTCTTGACTCTGGTGGAGTGTCCTTGACATCAATCATTCCCTGGTCTAGGAGCATCTTAGCGCAGGGACCCCAGGTCCAAAGGATGCACTTTGCTTCTGGTACTACTTTCTTGGTGGTATGAGGTCCCCTTGTCTCTCTGCTCCCTTCTCTCTTTTATATTTCAAAAGAGATTGATTTAAGACACAACCTAATCTTGTAGTTTGAGTCCTGCCTCGTTAACATAACTGCTGCTAATCCCACCTCATTAACATCATAGAGGTAGGATTTACAACACATAGGAAAATCACATCAGATGACAAAATGGTGGACAAACACACAGTACTGGGAATCATGTCCTAGCCAAGTTTACATACATTTTTGGGGGACACAATTCAACCCATAACACCAGCATAGTAGAGCATATAATTGTCAGAATTAGAATGGCCAGTACCAGTTCATTTCAGCTCACTAATGCCTAAGATACTGATCTTCAAGGTTCCATTTCATTTTTGACAATTTCCAGTTTTCCTTGATTCATACTTTGTACATTCCATGTTCCAGTTACTAATGGATGTTTGCATTTATTTCTTCTTACTCTGAGTTGTGCCATGTCAGGAAATGAAAGTCCCGAAGGCTTTATTCCATCTGCATCATTAAAGTTGACTCTACTTTGAGGAGGCAGCTCTTCCTCAATTAAAGTATTTTGAGTCCCTTCTAAGCTGAGGGACTCATCTTCCATCAGTTTATCAGACAGTGTTTTGTTGCTGTCCATAAGGTTTTCTTGGCTGATTTTTGGAAGTAGATCACTAGGCTTTTCTTCCTGATCTGTTGTAGTCTAGAAGTTCTGCAGAAGCCTGACCACCATGGGGAATCCTGCTAGGATTTGAAATACTGATGACATAGCTTCCAGTATCATAGCAACATGCAAGCTCCCACAGTAGAACAAACTGACAGATGGGTGATTGCAGAAGATGATATCCATATTATGTGAATCGTCTGCACATGCGTGTACATGGGTGCATACACATGTATGCACAGTTCAATTTTAAATCCCAAGCAGTCATGAGACTGTTAGGATGAGGACTTTGCTATCTGATCTGATTGGATTGTACACACAAGACACTTACATATTGTTAGCAGTTGAAAACTGTTATTGTTATTTATAGAAGCTAAACGGTAAAAAACAAGAACAGATTACTTATAGAAAGCAAATAGTAAGTAACAGGAACATGTCTGAAATAAACCAGTCCCCTCCATCCCTGTGAGTACCCCACTTAGTGTTGTAGGGAAGGAACCCACTTATGTCTAAAAGGGGACCCATTCACCCTTTCCAAGTTACCCATGTCCATTTCTGTGTCATTGGGTGGGCATGCAGTGGATGAAGTGTCAGCAGGTGTCTCTTTCTCTCAGCTGGTGTGTCATCCACTCAGGTCAGGTGTGGCGTGGCTGTGTCTGTTCTGTTTCTCTCTCTCTGTCTCCATGGATTTTCTTAGCTGGACCTGGCCCCCTGTGCTTACTGGTCCAACTCTCAACCAGCAGCTTTGGGACAGCCCTGGGCTAGTGCCAGGGTTAGGCTGGTATTATAACAGCTCTTGAGGCAAAACTTTCACGGGTAACCTTTGTACAAGTGTATGCCCAAGTCTCTGCTCTGTTGGCGACCTCCTGCTGGAGTTGCCCAGCTGTGTTGGTGACATCCTGCCTGGAGATGCCCAGCTCTGCTCCATGGGCTGACTAGTCCACTGCCCCTGTCTTCTCTGTGGGCCAACTCGGCCCCACCACTGCTATCTGCCGGTCTTGTGATTTCTGCTGCTGCAGTTTCTCTGTTGCTTGACTCCGTTGTGCTTGCTGCCAATGCTGTTGTATTCAGTGTTATCAGCTCAGCGTTACTGCCTTTGACCTGTATTATAGTTCTTCTAGGAAGTTCTCAGTGCATGGTCCCATGTCCAAAGAATATGCTCCTCTCCTGACTCTCATCCATTAGGAAACCCCAGAAACCTCTTTGAGATTGGTCGCTTATGTAGGAAAACTCCTTAGGCAGGTTGTAAACTGACCAATCCCTGCAAACCACTTATGCAGAGAGTAAACCGACGAATTTCCTGCAGGCCTCTTACGTGGATAACAAATCAACCAATCCTTTGCAAGATTGTGGCCTGACCAATCATTCTGGGAGAATTATAAACCTAGGGCCACAAAAGCCACATTAAAGAGAACCAGTTGCACACACTACTGTATTATTATGCAAATAAAGTACGTGTTTTAGGTTTTTTTGCCAACACCCCCTCCCGTAAGTGCTATGCTAATTTTTTTTTACATGTAACGGTTTTTTTACAGTAACACGGAAAAAAAATTTGCATAGCACTCTTATTAAAATATGTTGAGGCGGGGCCTGGTTGGCAAAAAACGTACACTGAGCCCCTTATTTACAGAAAATACTGGTATATCAGTCAAATTTCTTGTTTGACAACTAGACTAGAACATATATTGGTGACCTGTGTTCTAATACTGACTTTGCATTATCACCTTTGGCAAGTCATTTGATCTGTGTGGGTCTCAGTTTCCTTATCCAAAATTGGAGATAGCAAGGCAGCATTTATACTGTGTAATGTATATACCTGTCCAGCTGTATGTGGTGTCTTGGGGTGATATCTAGGTCTGAATTTATAATAGTGACCTGTATTCTGGTATTAGGTTTGCAAAAGGCAGGTCACTTGACCTATCTGGATCTCAGTCTTCTAATCTGTAAAACGAAGAGTTAGGGTTTAGTTAGGGTTTTTTAACTAAATCTGCACAACAGGATCATCTGAATCACCCTAGAAAATCTTATTCAGTTGGTTTGGCAGAAATATCCAAGTATGTGTATTTCTACAAAGCTACAAAGATAATTTCGTGCATATATCTGTTGAGAGTTATTGGATTAGTTGATTTCTGTGATCATTCTGTTATAAAATTCTATGATGACTGACCTCTTAATGCATATGGCTCATAATCTTGAGTTACTTCGTATACAGTACTTTTCAAACTCTCAAGAATAATAGGAATGTTGTAGATCAATTGTCAGCAAACTACAGCATACCAGTTGGCTGCCTATTTTTGTAAATGCAATTTCATTGAAATGTAACCATACCAGTATATTTATGTATTATCTGTGGCTGCTTTCAAGTTACAGTGGCAGAGTTGAGTAGTTGTGTCAAGAGACCATATGACCCAGAAGCCTAAAGGCCCTATAAGCAAAATTTACCAAAATGCATGTCAAATTTTATACAGCTTCAAGTCCAGGTGTCCTTCAATGTGAATGGTTAAACACTGTGATATGTATATACCACAGAACACTACTGAGCAGTAAAAAGAAATGAGCTATTGATATCTTTAACAATTTGAATGAATCTCCAGAGAATTATGCTGAATGAAAAAAAGCCAATGCAAAAGGTTACATACTGTATGATTCCATTTATATAACATTTTTCAAATGATACAATTTTAGAAATAGGGGACAGCTTAGTGGTTAGGAATGGGAGGGAGGAAGGAGGTGAGATAGAGAAGTTGATGTGGTTATAAAATGGCAACGGAGAGATCTTTGTGGTGATTAGAACTGTTCAGTATTTTGACTGGTGATGGATATATGACCCTATTGTTGTTAGGTGCCGTGCAGTGGGTTCCGACTCCAAGAACCCTTACGTACAACCGAGTGAAACACTGCTCTGTCCTGTGCCATCCTCAATCATTGCTGTGCTTGAGTCCATCATTGTAGCCACTGTGTCAGTCCATCTCATTGAGGGTCTTCCTGTACATGTATAAAACTGCATAGAACTAAATACACACACACACAAAAACACACACACACACGTGCAGGTAAAACTGAGGAGATCTGAATAAGATTGGTGGATTGTATCAATGACAATATCTTGGTTGTGATGTTGTAGTATAGTTTTTCAGATGTTACAGTTGGGGGAAACTGGATAAAATGTACAAGGGATCTCTATTTCTTACACCTGCATGTGAATCAGTGATCATCTCAATATAATTTTTAATTAAAATTTTTTATACTAATTCATAAACTGCTGTTAAGATTTGTGATACTGAATTAAAAGTACAACTTGAGAACTTCTATGGAAGAGTATGTTTCTAGGAAGTTAGCACTTGCAACTGTGAAGTCTCTTAAAAGGGAAATTTCAGGATTGATTAGATTTGTTTAGAAAATGTTCTTGTTGAGATACAGCAGTGTCCAAAACAATATTTGACATGGCCGTTCAATCGGAATATTATTATTAATGTACATAATGACATACTACTTCATATACTTTCCTGGAAGCTATTGGATCTTCATGTACTTGTGTTTTCTTCAAATAATAAAGGTAATATTTTTCCCACGAAATTAAACTAACATTCCATAATAAGGAGAAGTGGAATTTTCAAAGTAGATGATAGCATAAATAACAAGTATCTTTTAGAAATGAAATGTTAACATTTTTCCCTCTTTCCACTTAATTAGGGCACCTGACATTAATGTGGAGCAAGGCCAGAATATACTGGAAATCTTACAAGATTGTTTTGAAGAAAAAAGTAAGGCTTCATTTTTATATGGATTTTGAGGATTGAAATGGATAAAAATATAAATTTGTCATGTTAATTAATGTTAAATGTGGCAAGTATGTTCTATTATTTAAACATGTAAAATATTTTCCTACAAATTTTGAATACATATGTAATTCTTCATGTACCTTCTGGTACACTTAGGGTAATAGTGACTAAAATGTAATCCCTTTTACTTCACAATAAATCATTGTAGTCTGGAAGTCCTTAAATAATTATACAAAGAGAAAATATGTCATATAGCGGAAATGATTGTGTGAATTCTTGGAATTACTGGAGAGTTTGAGATACTTTTTGGTGATTTGTATTCCTTTCTAAGGAAGTGGTGATTATGGAAAAAGTGCTGGTCAGCATTGGAAAGTATTGGAATAGGAGAATAGGCCAATCAGAGAAATAAGAACCGATGATGGAAGGCCATCTCTTCTGTAAAATCTCTGAAAGAAGAACTGACACATATTTCTTCTAGAATTTTGCTTTTCCCATCTCTTAAGGTCTTCAAGAACATTTGAATATTGAATGATGTCTGTACTCATTTAAGCTAAATGTGTTATAAGAAATGAACAGACTTCTTCACATGCCACATAGGGCTACTTTTAATTGTAACCAATAGACATTACACCATATTTCATTTTTTTAAATTTTAATCTTTTAGGTCTTGCCAATGATTTTAGCGCTAATTCTACAAAATCGGTGCCTTATTCAACACCCAAAATAAAGGACACTTGTATTCAGTCACCAAACAAAGAGGTAAGTCAAAACAGTGGAACTGGTAGGTTTAATATTTTAATATTTTAATAAACAAAGCTATACACAGTATAGTTAGGTATGTTTTAGTTAAATTGTCTGTAAGCCTGATTCTTTTTTTTCTTTTGTAATTCTGAAACAGTTTATTCTTAAAATCTTAGTGTTTCTTTTTCTTTTTTTTTTTTATTGTACTTTAGATGAAGGATTACTGAGCAAACTATCTTCTCAATAAACAGTACATATATTGTTTTATGACATTGGTTAACAACCCCATGACGTTAATACTCTCTCTTCTTGACTCTCGGTTCCCTATTAACAGTTTCCCTGTCCCCTCCTGCCTTCTAGTCATTTCTCATGGGATGGTGTGCCCCTTTAGTCTTGATTTGTCCTGTGGGCCTATCTAATCTTTAGCTAAATGGTGAACCTTAGGAGTGACTTCATTACTGAGCTAAAAGGGTGTCTAGGGGCCATATTCTTGGGGTTTCTCCAGTCTTTGTCAGGTCAGTAAGTCTGGTCTTTTTTTGAGTTAGAATTTTATTCTGCATTTTTCTCCAGCTCTGTCTGGGACCCTCTGTTGTGATCCCGGTCAGAGCAATTAGTGGTGATAGCTGGGCACCATATAATTGTGCTGGACTCAGTCTGGTGGATGCCGTGGTAGTTGTGGTCTGTTAGTCCTTTGGACTAATCTTTCCCTTGAGTCTTTAGTTTTCTTCATTTTCCCTTGTTCCTAAAGGGGTCAGACCAGTAATTCATTCCCTCAGGGAGTTTGGATTTGTCCATGGAACTTCCATGACCTTACCCTGCACAAGTAGTGCTGGCTTCCCCACTATTGTGTACTGTCTTACCCTTCACCTAAGTTACCGCTTATCTATTGTCTATTTAGTGTTTTTCCACACCTACCCCTCCCCTCCCTGAGGGACTGAATTGCAGGGTGGAGAGCTGTGGGGACCATGATCTCGGGGAACATCTAGCTCAGTTGGCATAGCAGAGTTTATAAAGAAAATGTTCTGCATTCTACCTTGTTGAGTAGTGTCTGGGATCTTAAAAGCCTGTGAGCAGCCATCTGAGATACTCGACTGGTCTCATCCCTTCTGGAGTAAGGGAGAATGAAGAAAACAAGATAAAAGGAAAAGATTAGTCCAAAGGTCTAAAGGACCACAAGTACCACGGCCTCCACCGGACTGAGTCCAGTACAACTAGATGGTGCCCGGCTACCACCACTGACTGCTCTGACCAGGATCACAACAGAGGGTCCTGGACAGAGCTGGAGAAAAATGTAGAATAAAATTCTAACTCACAAAAAAAGACCAGACTTACTGGCCTGACAGAGACTGGAGAAACCCTGAGAGTATGGCCACC